GAGAGAGAGAGAGAGAGAGAGAGAGAGAGAGAGAGAGAGAGAAAAAGAGATTGAGATCAAATCAGAAAGGCCCAAAAGAAAGAAGTTTGTATTTAGTGTCCAGAGAAGAATTTTTAAAATTTTTATTTTATGTGCATGTGTTTGTGCTTGCATGTATGTATACCACATGCGTTCCTGGTACCCACAAAGACCAGAAGAGGGCATCAGATCTCTTGGAACTGGAGTTACAGGCTGTTATGAGCTACCATGTGGGTGCTGGGAGCTGAACCTGGGTCCTCCACAAGAACATTAAATGCTCTTAACTGCTGAGCCATCTTTCTAGCCCTGTGGAGGAGAATTTTAAGGATACAGTGAAACGATTGATCTAAGTTTAGAAGGATCACTACTATCTATGTATGTACATAATTAAGAAAGACGGGTGACATCTCTAAATGCTCATTATCAGTAAAATAGGCAGTTAAATCTCCTCTCACTCAGCTCTGAAATTATGTATATACAGATCAATTATCTAAGATCACCAGGGAATGAATTCTGATGGATAATAACCTTTTCTGAAAATTTAATTTGTGGTTCCACTTAAAAAATAGTAGCCATTTTGAGATGGGAAATTCATTGAGATTGATTGCATACTGATTTTTTAAATAGCATTATAATTCAAGGCTAGCCTTTCTTTGATAGTGTAAATAATTGTGGCTAATTAAGAGAAACTGCAGATAATTTGAACATAATAGTCCTTCCTTCCCCCCTTTTCTTTCTCCCTCTCCTCTTTCTAGCAAGATCTTGCTATATAGCCCTGGAACCCACTCTGTAGACCAGGCTGGCCTCAAAATTGCAACCATCCTGCCTCACCCTCCTGAGGGCTGAGATTACTAGCATGTACCATCGTGCCTGGCTTGGGGAATAATGGCCCTCCCCCTCCCTTTTCCTTCTTTTGTGGTGTTGGAGCTTGAACCTAGGGCCTCATGTATGCTAGGCAAGTGTCCTGTGACTGAGCTACCCTGGACCCCAGATTTCTTTCTTGTAATCTTCTGTTTTTCTTTTGGGTTTTTGAGATAAGAGTCTATGTAGCCCATGCTAACTTTGAACTCATGATCCTCCTGCCTCAATCTCTTGAGTGTTACGATTTACAGATGTGTGTCATCATACTTGACCAATACCTGAAGAATCATAGTAACTTCTGTTTGGATAGTTTGTTTTACCTTACTTTATTTTATTCATTTATTTTTTTAAATTCGTTTTTATTTTTAAAAATATTTTATTTATTTAATTTATTTATTTATGTGTATGCGTGTATTGCCTGCATGTAGGTAAGTGAAACTGTGTCATGCAATGCCCTCGGAGGACAGAAGAGGCTGTCAGATCCCTTGGAACTGGAGTTACGGACAGTTGTTAGCTGCCATGTGGGTGCTGGGATTCAAACCCGGCTCTTCTGCAGAATGTAGCAGTCCAAGCGTGGTGGGACACGCCTTTAATCCCAGCACTTGGGAGGCAGAGACAGGCAGAGTTCAAGGCGGCCTGGTCTACATAGTGAGTTCCAGGACAGCTGGGACTAGAGGGAGACCCTGTTCTTAACTGTTGAGCCATCTCTCCAGCCCCACCTTACTTTATCTTTAATTATGTGCCTCTGGGTGGGTCTGTGTCTGTGAATGCAGTGCCCAAGGAAGCCAGAAACAGGGCATCAGATCCCCTAGAGCTGGAGTTACAGGCAGTTGTGATCTCTTGGAAGGCAGAAGAAGGCATTGGATCTCCTGGAACTGGAGTTATGGACAGTTGTTAGCTGTCATGCGCAAACTGAGAACTGAATCTGGGTCCTCTGCAAGAGGAGGAGGTGCTCTTAACACCTGAGCCATCTCTCCAGCTCCTGTTTATTTTTGACACAGGGTCTCACATAATCCAGGCTGTCCATAAAGTCACTATGTATCTGAGGATGATCTTGAACTCGTAATCTATCTGTTTCCACCTTCCAAGTGTTAGGATTACAGGTTTGTGCTACCACAACTGTCTTATAATTAATTAATTAATTTTCTTTGGTTATTAAAAATCAGAATGTAGTGGGCATGGTGCAGTCCAAGCGTGGTGGGACACGCCTTTAATCCCAGCACTTGGGAGGCAGAGACAGGCAGAGTTCAAGGCTGGCCTGGTCTACATAGTGAGTTCCAGGACAGCTGGGGCTAGAGGGAGACCCTGTCTCAAAAAAAGACAAAAAAAAAAAAAAATTAGAATGCAAAGGAAGGGGCTTTGTGATGCCTTCATACTACTATCCTGAGGATGGGGTGGTTTCCTAGCACCAAAGTAAAATCAAGAGCAATTAGCATTGAAAAACAAACAACCCACAGGTATGTACCTACTGTCACCTTAAAAAAAAGAAAAGACCTCTCAAGGCCAATAAAATTAGCTTCTTCAGATAACATGGCAAAGGAGTGGATGGTTTCTGTTACTTGTCTAGCTTTAAGGAAGGTGTCCTAGTTTATTCGCTGGC